ATTATATTTCTAGAATTTGTTTACCAAATACTCTATGCCAAGTCAGAAATTCCTATTTTTCTTGGACATTGTGTTAGATGGTATAAGCGAATATAAAGTTTCAAAATTTAAAAGGCAAGATTGCCTTGATATCATGACATTTTTAGAAATTGTAATTTAATCACGACTTTCTCACTTTTGCAAATTATATCACAATTTTCAGTTTGTTGCAAATTGGTGCACCGATTTGCATATCTCGTGCAAACTATATCACAATCTTCAGTTTGTTGTTCGACCACATCAGTTTTTCTATGATTGTTTTCAGACTGTTTGCAACAAATTAAAGATTGTGATATAATTTGCAAAAGTGAAAAGATCATGATTAAATTGCAATTTCGATAAAGGTCGTGATATTAGGGCCAAATTTGCGAATTTAAGATTTCCTTTTTTTCTTTTGAGGTTGGACTCACAGCAAAAATTGGGTGCGAAGGTTGGACTCCTACTGCAGGTGAAGTCAAAACAATGCCTGCTATTTGCTGCCGCACTTTGGAATCAAGGGCAGCCTGTTCATGCATGGCAAGTAAACCAATTAGTACTCCACTGAGTATTACTGACTATCAGATTTACCAAAAGCCAGGTTAAAGAAGTGCAAGTTTCTTACCTTTAAGACTATAGCTCCACCAGTTGAATGGCCGAAGCAGAAGCAGGGAACTGCTGAATTTTCAGCTACGACCTTAGTGAGAAAAGCTTTCTGCAGGGCAGTAAAAGAAAGACTAAGTTAACATTGGACGAAAAGATAAAATTTTCATTTGAGAGATCTGACAATCTGAGTTTGTCATGTGCATGTTAACCATGCTGTTAAGTGTTATTGACGTGAAGCATGCAACTTACCATGTCAGTAACAGCAAAATCTAGAGAAGGGACATACGCGTGCAGCCCATCACTTCCTCCATGGCCTGAACCAACGTAAAAAGATTAAGCTATCGGTAGCAACTTCCCATAACCAAATAATATCAATAAAACCAGCACAAACTTTGGCACTAGGAGCTCCACTATCTAAATGCTTCATTTAGTGGCCAGGAAATTAGCCTTATTCACAGAAAAAGAACTAAATTCGTGCTCTAACTAAATAGAAGGCATGCACTCAACCAGATGAGACTCACTTAGACCAAGTAATTGAACTTCGAAACACGCACTCAACCAATTTAATTTTGAATCTTCCAGTTTACTCAATTTCACATAAATACACTCGACTTTTAGAGGGGCACATCTCCAGTCAATTGCGCATGGCAAATAGCCACGAATTAATCAATCTGGACAAGGGGAAGTTAAATAATTATGCGCGCTTCAGTTAAACATTTGTACATGGCTTGAATTATCTTTTTCTAGATTTCAAAAACATGACTGATCATTCCAGACAGACAATTTTAAGGTAGATTTTAAAGACTCAAATGGTAGGCTTACTCATCAAGGAGGCCTTCAAATGTTAGGCAAGAATGACATCCACATGGATTATATTAACTCCCTGCAACATACAAATATATATGCATTGTTGAAGTCTATGATTCTAGACCATAAAGCAGTAAACAGATGGACTCTTCTGGCAAATAGATTATTTATTGAAAAGGATAGATAATCAAAATTTCTTAGAAGCTTGATCTTTGGGAGTGAGCTCCATTCTCAACAAACTATATTGGGCCAATCATTTCTGGAAAGCAGAGCACATTCCATTTGGATGATCACAGACTTACAGCCTCGCTGGTGACCTTTACATATTCAATTCATACTTTCCTGTTGCTCTTTACCCACATACATGCACACACTTCGTCTTGGTTGAGCACTATATCAAAATTGGATTTAAACAAGCAAATTCCTACACCACAGTTCTAAGATGAGCCCTAGACAATAAATGAGCATGAATTATCTGGGCTCTTAATGATTGTACCAAGACAGGAAAATGATGCATTGCAGGTGGCAGTTTGGAAGTCTCACAAGTAAATGGTGGTGTTATCATTAGGGTCTTCTATAAGAACTTATTAGCTTCCAGACTTTTGTTTTGGGTTGGGGGGGTGGGGTAGGTCAAAATAACATAATGTAAAACCTTCAAAGTCACTAGAATATCCTAATCTGTGTTGGGCGTCAAAGTAATCACAAAATTACCTTGAGGCTTAACCAAACTTCTTAACGCAGACTAGTTCACTGTCAAATTTATAGGAAATAACAAAACCAAAGTTTTTGTCAAATCCGTACACCCATCCATATCAATAAGAAAACGAATAAAAAAAAAAACTCAAAATCCTCGATCATATACATGAAATTATTACATGTAGCCTCTCAATTTCAACACTGAATCAAACCTCAAGGCAACTATTTGTAATTTAGACGTTTAGCTGTTCATTGTAATAACTAAATTATATCTCAGAGGTATCTTGTGTATTTGTCTCCCTATGTTTATTATAAATCAACTTTTTTTCAGGCACTTAAAAAGAAATGAATATGTTGTGAAATATAAAGAGTAAAATAGAATTGCATAGATCAAACCAAACATTAACAAACTCTATGTGCAGATTTTGTAAATATTCTCTCATCTAACACACCACATAAATACTCAGGATATATCAAGTGTACCCTCCCAAAGATCAAAGATTTTTCTGCCAGACCTTGGATGGGGATCAACAAAATCCATAAAAACAAGTAGAATACTAGCACAAACCTGTAGAAGCATAGCATATCCATTAAGAGACATCATGCAAGAAAATCAACCAGAGATACCGATTTTAACTGAAAGTCTGATCCACCTAAGGAGTTATACACCAAAATGATGCAAGTATGTAAATAAGAACAACTCCGTACCATCTCTAATTTCAAAATGAAAATGTAACAGGATCGTCACAACTATAACTTATCCTAAGCATTCAATTGGATTTTGCAATTTTTTCTCTAAATTATGTATGCATAAATGACAGAAGACAACTTCAATAATTTCAACTCACCAATCCAATCCATTCCATAAACTTTGAAGCCATTTGCATTCAGCTTCTTTGCAAAGTCATCATATCTACCACTGTTAGCAATGTTACACAAGTTCAGTGCCGTGGAAGGAAATTTAGACCAACAAAATCAAAATATAGTTGCTCCGANGAAAGATGGAAAGGAGTGATGAAAACCTGTGTTCATTAAGGCCGTGCAAGAGAACTACCACACCCCTACATGAAAACAAAAAACAAAAGTCAGTTTAATCATGAAATTACTTTGGGCTCATACAAATGGATTAACTATATCAGACCAAAAAACCACTTAATAGGAAAAACAGGAGTTGATGCAAGAAGAATTCACGACATCAGAACAAATGACCACTTGAATTCATGATATTTTCATCCCAGTCAAAAGATTTCATAAGCTCACAAAAAACAAATGCAAACAAGATTTAGAAACAAATTAAACTTATTTACTGAGGTCACAAGCTAAGATTAAAATAAAATAAAAATGAGTAACAACACTTCTCTAAAATGTTAGACGTCAAGACTGAGCTCACTGAAGTACTTAAATGCAGTTTCAGGAATATAAAGAATTTTATCTTCTCTAAATGCTACACACACGTCAAGAATGAGCTCACTGAAGTACTTTAATACTGTTTCATGAATATATTTCAGGAAAAAGCTACACCTAGAACTGGTTCACGCAGAAATGTAGAGATTTTATACGTTCGAAATCATATTTTTATGCCGATACCGGATACGTTTCTCTATAGAGCTACAACAGATATAAGTTCTAAAGAACAAGTTATACTGTGAGGCGGCCTAACCATAAGGCAGGTCAACCCATCATAATTTTGTTAACCACCACGCATATTTATACCATTGAATGTTACTTTTATCAATATTTGAGATTTTATGATGGAAGTATATCAATTCGTGGTAGAAGTATGTTGTCCAATGGTTAGGCATACCAAATAACCTCCTCAGTGCTTCTAAAAGTCTGTAAAGAGTAAAGTTAATGTGTTTATCCAAAAGTACTATAAAATGTGAATACAATTAAAACTGGGGAAACCCCACTTGGGTTTATGTGCTTATAAGGTGTGATCGGGGTAATTAGGTGTTAAAGAGAAAAAGAAGAAGAATTGCATGCCATGTATACTATACATATGCTTGTAAATATCCTGGCAAGCGTTGATTAAAAAGTTTGCGTGTATCAAATATGCTAGTATGCCGCCAGTGTCAATAGTAACATCAACCTAAGCATATGGGCAAAAAACTACATTTGATCGAAAATGGACCTACACATAGGGTGATATTTCTTTATAGAATCTTAAATGAATGGACACTCAAAAGAAAAGGTGAAATGTCCTAGAGAAAGCGAAAATGATTCAATTGTCAAAGCACTAAAATAAGTAACACATAACAGAGAAGAGAACAAAAAAATACTGTTTCTGGCCATGGCTAGTTTTGGAATACAGACACTACCAACCTGACAATTACCAGCCTCAACAAAACCAAATCACCACTGAACGAAGAACAGAAAAATCAGATAAATATAGCATACCAGAGAAATATAACAACAAAAAACAAGATCAGATTCCTTTTTTCTTAAACTCAAGTCGAAAAAGAAACTAAACAAGACTGCCAAACATGTAAATCGAATTGCCACTACAGAAGGACCAATTTCAAAACCAACAAAATGTTACAAATATGAGGAATTACCTAACCTGAACCTTAACCGGGGTCCACGACTGAGTAAAAATGGTGTCCCCTCTCCAAGTCGTAAGCAGTGAAAAATCCCTTACTGTACCCCTAAAACCCTCGGCCTCATTACTCTCCACCACCCTCCTAATCGCCATTGCCCTCCGCGCGGCCACGTCCTTACCGACGGCTGCTTCCGCGCACTTCCGCGGAACCATCGCCGCCGGAACTTTCACCATCTTCCCCGTCGGGGCCGGAAACTTCTCCTCCTTCCCGCTACATTTCTCGGCCGATTCCTGAACAGACCGCCGCCTCCCGCGGAACGGCAGCGTGAGGATAAGGAAGAACGCGTTGATCAGCCGCCATACGCTCCGCAGCGCGTACAGAGATAACAAGGCGTTGATTCTACCGCTCGCGCCTGACGTCAGCAGTACGGCGGCTGCATCGTCCGCTCTGCTCGCCATCCTTATTCGTCTCCGCGATTTTGGTGACGTTGGCAAATTGTGGATTCTATTGAATTCTAGCCTGGGCTTAGGGATCAAACAGATCTTCGCTCGAAGGTAACGCTGATTTGCAATGAAATTATAGGATTTCAGAAATCTAAAGCAAATCATAAACCAGAAAAATGGGGAATAAAAGACGAAACGGAAAATTCTCCTCCAAAAGTTTGAGTATATTATAACAAAAAAGTAAAATGAAGGGATTTTTGAGATTCAGAAATGGTAGTTCAAAGGCAGAGGAAAAATCTTGCTGAAATTTCGGCTTCTCGAGTCGAAATAAAAAGGTGGGAGTAAAATGTGGGTCAGCTCACGAGAGCTATCGTAGGTGATGGTCCATGGTGTGCCACGTGTTGGTATATGCGGCGATTCATGAGAATATTGGGAACCAGTCAAAGGAAGGGATCCATATGGGACACGTGGCGTTAACCTGCGCGGATGTGGTGGATAGTTGAGGTTTTCAAGGGAAACAATTTTGGATAGGTGTACTACTAAACTACCTGCTAACTAGAAAGGGTAAAGTAATGATATATAAAATCTGTTATAAATAAGAAAATATAGGAAGAGATGAAGAATAGAATTATTTAATTTAGTTTTTATCATTTTTTATTTATATTTGTAGTTGTTATATTTTTATTTATTATATTTGATACTTTTAAAAATTTAATTTGAAAATATAGCTTAGAAAAATTAGTTTGAAGTGAAAATTTTGTTTGACCATTAACAAATGTACGTAACTGCAAACAAACACAATAAAGGTTTTTGAATGACTTAGAGCATGTGTGTTTAGATAATTCATTCACCTATAATTCATACTCAAAATCTAGTTCAAATTTAATTTAATCACATTATTCTCAATATTGTCAATATAACTAAATTGTACAAATCAATCATTCTTACACATAACATTAACTTTTATTTACTAATCATTCGTTGGGTACTTATTCATACCCATTCTTTTCTTTCTTTCTTAACCTAAGTCTCGCGCTTAGATTCTCGAGAAAACATTTCGAACACTTTCTCTCTTTCAATTAAGACTAAGCAGGGCGATCAAATACTACGTCAATAATTGAAAATATTCAAACTTCAAACATCATTCTGGGTTTTGAAAACATTCATGTAAACAAAACAAGTTCGAAAATGCTTGCGGAAGCACAATAAAATAACATTCTTCTTTTGACCACCACTGCACCCCGTGTCCGGCCGGCATCGACCTGGAGTGATAATTATAGGAGATGAGCAAAACAACTAGCCCACTTGGAGTCTATAATATGCAGTTATTCAGAATAATTAGCGAATAATATGGTAACAACATGAAACATAAATCATCATAATATTTCACCATCTCATAGGCGACATCACCGTCTCATAGGTGGCATCACCGTCTCATAGGTGGCATCTTACTGCCTTTTCATCGGCCTTCGCCCTTGCGAGCGGAATATATTTGCAACCTGTGAAAACCATAATAATCGCAATAATTATAAATAATAAAACATAGTATAGACTTCCTCACCTTTTAACTTACTGCACTTGGATGAAAATGAATGCACGTGCGTTTGTGTGAGGGCTCGACTCCTCTTAATCTGAATTTTGATTCTTAAGTCTTATTATTAGGGTTTTGATTGAAATGCAGAACAAACAATTAAAACACATAAGGCACATACAACAGATAAGAGCACAAAATGCTGTAAAAAATAAACAGATAAAATCACATAAAAAAATTCTAACTTCATTTCCTTCATTCCTTTTCAAACTTTTCTCAACTCTCTCGATCATGTACATAAATACATATAACTCCAAATGACACATAAAACAGCAACAGGAAGTACAAAAGAAATCACAACAACACACAAAACAGCATAACACAAGCCTTCATTTTTCTCTTTCTCAAATAACTAGTCGCGACTCGTGTGATGCACGGGATAGTATATTTTTCTGGAATGTTTAACATGTGCAATAATTAATAGAGTTTTTATATATTTAACAAAAATAAACGGGGCACGAAGAATGTAAAAAAATCAAATATTATTGAACACTTCCTTGTACACAACATTTTTGGTTTGATTTGTTGGCATCATCATTCCCACAGACTAATTTTTTCAAACCACTTCGGTTGGTGACACGGGAGAGCATAACGACATGGGAGAGAACAACGTAAACTGATCATGACTGAAAATCGGCTTCTTAAGAAATAAACTGACATGCGATAACGATTGCCCTTGACTCTTGTTTACAGTCATGACGTATGAAACCATAATGGGAAACTATCGCCGTTGAAACCTAAAAGAAATTCTGGCAGCAGAAGGAGTTATAGCCATCTAGGATGCAACACCTTCTCGTCTTCATGATCCCCAGTCAACATCTTACTCTCGAGAACATGAGTGGAGAGTTTTGTCATAACCAACTTTGTCCCATTACATATGCCCATAGAACGATCCATGTTCCGCATCAACAATGACGGGAGTTCTAATCTTCAAATGCAATTGATAATTTGGATTTCCCGAACATTTGATACTATTGAAGAACTCGGGCATGTGGAAATCAAACAGAAAATCATTATTAGCGTCTCACTTGCACGTACTATTGGAACTTAGGTACGTATGACCATCAGACAAATTCAAAGATGTCATGTACTCATTTATAGACTCAACAACATCCAGATTCAGTGCTAATATAGCCATGTCCTTCAAATAACTGGGATCATCAGTTGACTGTTTAAACATTGGATACATGCTTTCAGTGATTTGGGCAATCAAATCTAAAGAAGGATGAAGCAATATCCTCAAGTATGTCTATCATTGCATAACTATCGTTGGACCCCCTCCCCCCTATAGTTCAATCTCCAATGCTCGTTATGCATTCAGCGACCTGAGCAACCTCTTCACGTTCGTCTAAATCACTAAAGCTTTGAAGACACATGTTTTTTGTAAGCCTGGGAACAATACAACTTCTCCATATGTCAGAAGCATTAATCGCAACATTGACTATGTCTTGAAGGCTACCCTCTAGGATAACTGGAAGGATTTGTCTGAAATATCCACAAAAAACAACAGGTTTGCCGCCAAATAGTTTGTCCTTGTTAAAAGGATCGATTGCTCCTATAAGATTATGTATTTTTTAAAATTGAAAGCTGACAGATTAAAATTTTTCAATCACTGAATAAATGGTGGCAATGAGTCAAAAAATTGTACAGTTTTCAATTTTGTTATAAAAAGTTTTGTTGTAATAATAATTACAAACTTAGCACGAATTATTAATATGTTTATGTTTCAAATACACATGTATAATTCCTAATATAAGATTTTGAAATTCAAACCATAAAGGACTACAATATTTTTTTATTACTACTCGATTATGAAAATGCTAAGGATTGATTCCTAAGTATATGTACTAAAAATATGTAAATAAGTATAATATATATAATTATTTGTAACTTATATACAATGAGTGATTATTTGTTTTTTAAATTTATCTTTGTTGGGAATTAAAATGCATAGAGTCCATGCTGTGTAGGACAATCTTCCTCAGGGGCGAATCTAGAAAAATGAATTGGACGGGACAAAATTTTTTTTACAATGAAATATTCTTAATAACAAAGACATAAAGTTACAATTTTGAAAATTGAAAAACAGGTTGTAAAAAATGAATTCATTCTTGATAACTTCCCCATACCCTGAAATGAAGTAAAGATAATGAATATTAATATTAAAGGCTCTAAAATATGGTTCTTAATACATCAATAAAAGTAGCCAAAATACAAATGTTCATTTTTCCTCTTCACATATACACACGACTAATCCAATACACAATCTNAGAAAAAACAAAACAATAAAATTGCTTGTGCAGGGTGCAGCCACCCAAGAATGAAAAACCAAACACATTGATTTTAGAAAAAAAAAATATGAAGATATCAAGATAAGTTGACCGTAAACAAAGTACACAAACATCCTCATAAATAAAACCAACTACTGATTTTCAACGATGGCCAAAAGGACCAAAACACTTCCCAATTCCCCTATTTGGATCACTGTATACAATGTGAGAGGACTCCACAAAAAAAATTAACTAAAAATCAAGTTTAATGCAAACTATTTAACAACCATTTAATTGTTTTTAGTACATATATAAATTTTTCGAATGAGGCTCAAGCAAAAGAGGAAACCTCATAGCAGGTCGTATATTCAATTCGATTAAAACCATTCAACTTGATTAAGACTATGTTTGGTAAAACTAGTTGATAAGCTAGCTAATAGCTAATAAGTTAGCTTATAACTTATTTGTAATTTTTTAGCTTATAGCTTATAGCTTATGACTTATAGCTGAAAAGCTAACTTATATGATAAAATTGTTTGGTAAAATTAGCTGATGAACTAGCTGAAATAAAAAATTCAACTAACTTATTTGAAAAGCTACCTAAAGTAGTTTATGAGATAAGCTCGAGCTTTTAAAAAAAGTTCGTCCTACCAAACAAGGCTTATTTGTGTACAGGGAGCTTAAAAGCTAACCAAATAAGCTATAAGCTAGCTTATTTGATTTACCAAACACAGCCTAAACCCTAAATGGTTCAAAAGGAACAAATAGATAGTATCATAAATAATGATATAAACTAAAGTACTAACAAAATCCGATAGGAACAAAATGAATGCTCAAATCTCAATCGATATTTTTTTTTCCGGTTTGCTCAGTCTCCATGCTCGTTCCTCTCAAATTTCTCTCTAATTTTCTGTGGCTGAAAAGTCCCAATATCTTTTGCCTTTTACGTGTGGATATGGTTTACTTTAATTATTTGTTTCATAGTATAGAGAATAATTAACTAACTTAAGTTACTATATTATATTATATATGCTTAGTAAAGGAAAGAAGTAGAAGTCAAATAGAAAATTGTTCCTTTTGGATTATGTTTCTATTTATTATATTATTTACTTTAGAGGGGGCAAAATAATAAAACAAACATAATATTATATATTATATATACATAGTTAAAAAAAAAAAAAAGTTTGGGGGGACGATGGCCCCCCTGCCATGTATGTGCATCCACCCCTAATCTTCCTAATGATGTATATGTATCAAAGAGGCTTCTTCCTAATGATATGTATGTCTCGAAGAGGCATGTACAAAGTAGGATATTTATTTTTTCAAATTATTTTTACGAATGCTTCATAATGATCTGCCTAATCTTTAATATTGATAAGCCTTATCTGTAATTCGTGATGCTTCATATCTTTATAATCTGTACTATTTGTTTATAGTTTTCTTTTTCAAATTGGCACAAATTTTCCTTTTATATGTGAAAAAAGGAAATAAA